CATTTTATTGACAACATGAATGACCGGTTTCAGTTTCCACTATGCATAGTGGCTAAGAGAAAATAACCACATATGATGCTATTGCCATATATATGCGGTTTACCTTCTGCAATATCTAGACAAAAGTAACAAGTAATATAAAGAAGTAATACAATGTGCGTGTAATATACCATGTTGGGCTGTTGGCAAACATCAACATTCTAATTTGAGGTACAAAAAAGGTGAAATCTACAATTACACCTTTGAATACAGTATGCTTTTCTTGCATGAAGTAAAGGCAAGAGAACAAACTTTAACAGCTTTAGTCAGGGAATCAACACTAATTTATTCTTATAAATGAAGATGAATACTGAAAATGTTATCTTCATTTATTCCATCAATTCCACCAAATAATTTGGGGACAGCAAATATATTGTACAAAAACTAAATTAATACTACTCTACAGGACATACAAGAATACTAGAATGCACATCGATTGGAACTTATAGTAGTGAAAGAACAGTAATCACTTCTGGGCCCCGTTGCAGAAAGAGATACAATCGATTGTAAGTCCGATCACGTGTTCTACATGCGGAAATCTGATTTCGGCTTAGAGAAGAAAACCTCTCTCTGTCACTATTTACAACAGAAATATAAGATGAGAAATGTAACTTTCTCATGATCAAGATATCTCTTTGAGCTGCATATCATATGTAGTTAGCTGCTTTATTATTGCATAAGGATACAAAAATCCTATTTTCTGTCTTGATAAAAATATAAGCACACACAAAACATACAATACTTTGGTAAATAGCACACTTCAATTATTCAACAACAAAAAGTATTCCTATAGCCCAAGAAAATACACCTGTAAATGTGTCTAGAAAAACAGTAAATTTGTAATACTTTGGAACCCGACATACATACATGTAGTTAGTCAATTTCACATGTCCATGTTTTATTTATTTCATAAATGTTCATCCCTGATACAAGATATAAAGAGGTACATTCAATATATGATATTCTAATAAATGTATCAAGTTAAGCTAGCCTCAAGACAGAAATAAACACTAACCAGTTCATACCCGTGCATTTGACTAGCAGAGTTACTGTATTCCTGCACAGCCTATGTTTGCTTCTCTTAATTAATATAGACATAGGGCTCCTGGGCTCCAATCAAATAGTTGAACAAATCACCAGAAACAGTATGTCCCTATCATCAGACGAATAAAAGGAAAGGACATATTACTCGTGGCTTTTTGGATTCAAATCCAGTGTACAATCTGACAGTTTTATCAGTTCTCGTGACAACAGTAGTCATATCAAAATCACCTTTCTTACCATGCTGTTTCTTTGTAGCTTTCAGCTTTGCCTGTAAATGACTATTCCTCTGTTGTAGATCTTCAATTTGTTTTTGCTTTGCAACACATCCAAGGCAGGTACAGAATCTTTTATCACAATGTAGCCCATAATTGTGATCAGTGAGATGTGCACCAACAATATGATCAGATCTTTTCTCCTTATTACTTGAAGCTGTCTCATCAATTTCTTGGTGCTCATCAAGAGTAGAGGATCCATGAAAGTCAGGATCTCCTGTCAAGTCGACATCCTTTCTCTACCGTTTACATGTTGATTTCCTCTTTTCTTTACTTGAAGCTGTCTCACTAAATTCTAGGTGCTCCTCAGCCGTAGAAGTTTCATGTGAGTCAGGATCTCCTGTCAAGTCGACTTTCTTTCTCTTCCGTTTACTTGTTCATTTCTTCTTTTCTGGGCACTGAGGTCTTTCTCTTGGAGGCAGACGAGGAGATTTATGTGAAGACTGGTGTGCTGAGCTGTATCCCAGATTCATGGTTGGGTCTGGCCACGCTGCACTAGGTTGTCCATCTCGAAAGTGATATGAGCAAACTCTATCTTCATACGTTGGTTCCCAGTTTTTGCCATTTGGACATTTTCGATTTATCGCCTTTATCCATCGTCGACGGCCGTCTGCATCTTTATTTTGCAAAGGAAAAGGGAATGGTACAAAAGATGGTGTGCATACGCAGGCCCCATATTTCAAGCCATGTCTGTCACACAATTGTGAATACCATTTATCAAGCTTGAATGTACTGTTCGAGCACCCAATAACAGCACAGATTCTTCCCATGATGATAGTCTGATTGTAAAAAGAGAGAAAAATATTTCATGTTAACACAAATTATAATGGTTTCTATTTGGGCAGGAAAATATTTCTTCTTTCTTGAACAAAAAAAAAATCACAGCTGATAGTCTCAATCCCCCCTACCCCCCAGGGCCCAAGAAAGGAAGAACATTAAATTATTGCCTTAATTAAGGTTAAAATCTCAATGATCATACAAATTTACCAAATAAATCTGCCTTGTTCCCTATAACACATGCTAGCTGTAATGGAATAAACAGCCCATTGGCATTGTCAAGAGGACATCAGCACTGCTTATGATGTCACTGGGCAACCAGGACAGTGAAGGTGAATTTACAGCTGGCACAGTGGCAGCATTCATTGTCATTGATTGAAAGAATTTTAACAGGAAGTGAAGTGAAACTACTTATTTTAGTCAATGGATAGGCATAACTAGAAGTCCAGTCCTTGTTATACGGTTTGTATACCTTTTTTAAATTCAAATCGGTCTCAGTGTCTTTTGTTTCGATTACATAGACTAGAGATCTAGATCTAGTCTGAATTTAGTCACTCTTTTTCTTCACTTCAGTTCAATCAACATGATCAGGCAAAATAACAAACAAAATATGCGTAGCTTCTAAGCAGGTAAGTTTAGATCATGTAGGCCATAATTATTTTAAGTGATATACAGGCTGAACTAGCAGGGAAGAGCCTTCATATGAGTTATTCTTAACACCGGTTATTAAATTTTAAAGTCAGAATCACGACCCTTTTTAACGAAGCAGACGGCTTATGGATTGCTCGTAAGAAAGATGACTCAGCCACAGAATATCCCGCTTGGAATCATATAAGACCGTAGTCTGATTTTATTCAATCTGAAAGAACAAATTGAAGAATTCATAAGTATATAAGTCAACTGGACTCATTCATATCAGTTTCAAGTATAAATGTCGCCTCTATAACAGAACAAGCAAATCTGCCTGAATATCCTTTTTCTCATGAATAATTAAGCACTATTCTAATTTAAATATAGATATAACTACTAAATGACCAAAATGGCATCTTATATCTTTCATAACATTTCTACAAATATCCCTCTTCAACATTCAGGTTTTATGAATGACACCACAAGGTCAAATAATTCCACTTGACCTTCATAACAAATGTGACACACTTTTCAAGTCACTAATATTCATATTAAAACCCATACAGAAATCCCTTTAAATGACTTCATCGAATGTCATAAAATAGCTTCACCAGAATATAACAGATATCCTAAAATTCCCTTTTGTAAGACTTAGTGTAGTTGAAAAGCCAACAACAAGCTCCGTGTGCAATACCAAAAGCTAGTCTTAATTCAGACCAATGATTAATTGAAAGTCTATCAAAACGACCATAAATAAACCACCAAATCAGCCTTTTCCCTGTAAATTGTAAATACAAGAGTGCTACAATAAACCCTGAAAATAATGCCCTTTAATATTTATATACAGCTTATTCTTAGCAATGTATCAAATACATGTCAAATATCTACTTTATATCAAATGCTCTGCACACAAGACTATCAACTTTACACGTGTACACTTTCACTGAGCGAAATTCCATTTCGTTTCAAACAAATAAGAAAACATCCATAATTTCATGTCTGCATAAAACATTCTAAAAACACATTCACACCAAGCTGTACTCACTTCTTGGCAGGATATACTGTTGAAATACGAATTATCTCATTGTGAAATGAGGCATTCTGCACGAAAAATTAGTAGGCGAACATCGCAAGATGTCACCTCTATGAAACCCCAATAGTGCTCTGCCGGTTTTTACATTAATTAGCACATACGTACACGTTGACCACTGAATTACGTAACGGTATCTGCGAATCAAAAAACATAATGAAAATCAGTTTCGTCAGCGAAACATCCTCCCCCCGCCTATGAGGCCTTGCCTCAATACATAAATCAATATATCAATATCTGTATCAAAATGCCAGAAGGTAATATCAATTACATGTATAAACTTTTGAATCAACTATCTGAAAAAACGTTTACAATAAATGTCATTGTTGCAAAAATTCACTGGTAAAACTGTTTTAAAGTCAACTTCAGTCATATGATGCTAGCGATTTACAAAAAAAAACATCTTGTAATTCTTTACAAACAACAACACTGGTTGATAAAAAACCGATCGCGAGAAGAAAAACCTGTCGCGGCTAAAATGGTCGCGAATAAATTTGATCACGAGACGAGTAGAACCGATCGTGAGTAGAACTGTTCACGAATACATCTGAACGCGAGTTGAGCTGGTCACGAATATAGCTGGTCGCGAATATAGCTGGTCGCGAGTAGAGTAGGTCGCGAGTAAAGCTGCTGAAACTGTGTAAAATTGCTATATGCTTCTTATCATATCAAAAATAACCTTCATTTCAAACGAAATTTCCATCAATTATGCTTTTAACTGTGTTGCACAAATTAAACTCTTCACTGGAATGCAAAATGCATTTCTATCAATTTCCGCTATCCTCTGTATTAATGCACACAAAAAAAACCTCACTCGTCTTCATATCCTTCTGCAGGGTATATAATAGCGATTCTGCCGATCGGGCGACGGTATTCTCCCGAAGCGGTTTTCACTTTAACATTTCGAACTCTCCCATCTGGACCAGGGTACACTTGTATTACCCGACCCAGAAGCCACTTTCCGCGGACTGCATTAGCATCTGCTAACATTACGACGTCATCGACGCGAACATTTCGACGGTCTGCATTCCACCTTCTCCTTGGCACCAGTAGAGGTAGAACATCTCTCGTCCAACGTTGCCAAAAGGAGTCGACGATTTGTTGAACATATTCAACTCGATGTCTTGGATTTCCTGAACTTTTGAATGGACCCTGTGGTACTTGGCGCGAAGCTCTCCCTAGTAGCATGTCGTTTGGACACAAGTAGCTTCCTTCATCAGTGTCGTTAGGAATCCTACCAATAGGACGTTGATTAACCAGGTTGGCTACTTCTAAAAAGTCTGTGTCCCTGCAAGATACAACACTGCTTTCTCACTTTCCCAGTTGTGGCTGCAACTCTGCCGTGTCTATCCTGAGGCCACTCACTTTCTGTAGAGTACAGGAACTCTGAGCCTTGCTGCCATCTGTGTCCTAACTTTGCTGCTGGAAGACCTCTTGACACATCATCGGCAGGGTACTGATTACCTGGAACATATCTCCACTGGGCAGGATCAGACTGACTTTGAACCTCTGCTATCCTTACTGCTACAAACGTCTTAAAGCGTTTTCTCTTCCTCCGTACCCACGGTAGAACAATCCTGCTATCTGTCATGAACATCACCTGTTCAACTTGCAGTCTCAGCTCCTTCATGACAGTAGTGAAGAGTCGTGTAGCCATAACTGCTGCTTGTAGTTCCAATCTGGGTATGGTCATCTTCTTTAATGGGGCCACTCTGGACTTGGCCATTACATCATTACCGTTATCAAGCGGCCACCTCAGATAGATGCATGCTCCGAAAGCATTCTGGGATACATCTGCAAATCTGACATCATAATCACCGTTCTCAAGCTGCCACCTCAGATAGACGCATGCTCCGAAAGCATTCTGGGATGCATCTGCAAATCTACACAGCATTGGATGATTGATAATCATTGTTGATGGTGTGAGGCTTCTTTCAAACTTAACCTCATCTAACTCCTTCATCTCCTTGAAAAAGGCTATCCACCACTTCTGGTCTGCTTCTGGCAGCATCTCATCCCAGTCATAGCCCTTTCCCAAAAGGCTCTGTATCCCAATCTTGGCACGGATCAGGAAGGCTGCTGCAAAGCTGAGTGAGTCAAATACTTGTGCTATCTGCTTCAAGATCTTTCTCTTGCTGAGGCTCCATTCTGGTTTAACCTCAGAATACTCTTGCAAATCCTTCTCATCCTTCTCATCCTTCTCATCCTCCGACAGCTTTCTGGAGAATTTCAGGTCTTCCATTTCTCTCATCTGCTCTTTGTATGCAGATGCATACTTCTCATTTCTTTCCGGTCTCTTTTCTGTAGTCACCAAGATCTTGTTATCTGGTAAAAGATCCACCTGACTTGAGATCTTTATGTGAAGTACTGAACTGGAGCTGACACGGTCAGTGGGTCCTTTCCCAAACACCACCCATCCTACTGGAGATCTGCGAGCTGCTAAATGTCCAACCTCTCTAACTTCTCCGCCATGGAGTCTGGCATGATCTATGCCCACTAGGAGGTCGACTGCTCCAGTACCTCGCTTCAACTCTTGCTCCTTCAGTCCAAACTTCTTCGATAGAAGGCCCAAGTCTACTGCTGTAATGTCCCCACTTATGCAGTGTATGCCTATAGCGTCAATCATAATAGGCATGGTGCTTTTCCCTGCTTCTCTGATGGGTATCCGATACTTGAGAGTTTGGAGAACCTCCTCATCTCGTCCAATCTTGACCATTGTTATGGTTATTGGCGTTCCCTTAAGCTTGAGCCTCTCTGCAAAACCTTTACGAATAAGGCTTATCTCAGCACCAGAATCCAATAGCAGATTTCCTTGCTGCATAGTTCGTTTAGATATCACATCCACTATCGTCACGGGAAGGAGACATTCATTTGCAATGACCGTAGCTACTCCCACTTGTTTCACCAATCCTCCTTCCTCAACTATGCTCCTTTCAGTATGAAGTAACGGATGATGATACCATGTGCACTGCACTCCGTTCCTGGATTCACTACAACGGCGTCGCCTGTTGCAGTTACTCATCACGTGGTCTCGTCCAGCTTTCTTCAAACAGCTGTAGCAGGCACGACTGCTCTTTACCATCTCCCATCGTTCAGGTGCCGATTTGGAGATGAAATCCCTACACTGATCTGTCCAATGTCCAGTATAACTTTTGCAGACCCAGCACTTAAACTCCTTTGTGGACTGGTTCATGGATGGTTTCTCCTCTGCCGTGGAGACCATGTTCACTATGCTGGACTTGGCTTCACTGCGAAGCGGAGCTGATGATCTCATGCGAGCTCGCATCTCCTTCGCCATCCAGTTCATTAGAGAATGAAGAGTCGTCTCCGAACTGCCATCTTGGTCTCGGAACCATAACCTCCGATCATCTGGACACATCTTTCTCTCTATTATGGCCAGCATGTGACTGTTGTTCATGTCGTTCTGCTTCCCGATCTCGTTCAGGGTGTTGAAGCTTCTCCTTACTAGATGGACCAGGTCGCAGAACCTGGCATCTTCACCCTCTTTCAGTGGCCTAAACTTAGATATGTCGCTGATGATGGTGTCCGCCACATATCTAGAATCCCCATAAATGGTATCTAGTTGCTCCCAGGCAGCCGCGTAGTCCTGTCCAATACCTTGGATAAGTTGCAGTGGTTTGCCCTGAAGGCATGAACGAAGAATCATCATAGCATCTCTGGAGCTACATCTGCTACCTATGACATGTTCAAAATCTGACTTAAAGATGCAGTACTCACGGATGTCTCCACTGAACTTTGGGAGCCTTGGTCTTTCGATCTTGAAGTGGCTCATGCTTTCCTGAGCAAATCCTTGATGACCAGGAAGAACACTGACCGTGGTGTCTTCCCCTGTAGGACTTGACGAAGCACTTTCATCAACCTTGACGTAGTCAATGAACTTGCACTGTAACTTCGAGAAATCATTCTGAACATCTTCCATCCAGACGTCCTCTCTATCATACTCTGCTTCGTCTTTGATGGTCATAGTAAACTTGTCATGAGCATCTTCCACTTCATGGTATGCCTGCTCATACTTCTCGAAGGATTTCTGTGCCTCCGCCCTACTTCGGCCGCCATCTATCAGTTGCTCTGTAGCCTTGCCGAATCTCGTGAATCTGGACTTGGCACCCCTTCGCTTGAACTTCAGGTTACTTTCATCAGTCGACGTCATCTTTCCTATCGTATCCCAGGTTAGCAGTAGGAAATTGAATTGTTGGATTGCTCGTAAGAAAGATGACTCAGCCACAGAATATCCCGCTTGGAATCATATAAGACCGTAGTCTGATTTTATTCAATCTGAAAGAACAAATTGAAGAATTCATAAGTATATAAGTCAACTGGACTCATTCATATCAGTTTCAAGTATAAATGTCGCCTCTATAACAGAACAAGCAAATCTGCCTGAATATCCTTTTTCTCATGAATAATTAAGCACTATTCTAATTTAAATATAGATATAACTACTAAATGACCAAAATGGCATCTTATATCTTTCATAACATTTCTACAAATATCCCTCTTCAACATTCAGGTTTTATGAATGACACCACAAGGTCAAATAATTCCACTTGACCTTCATAACAAATGTGACACACTTTTCAAGTCACTAATATTCATATTAAAACCCATACAGAAATCCCTTTAAATGACTTCATCGAATGTCATAAAATAGCTTCACCAGAATATAACAGATATCCTAAAATTCCCTTTTGTAAGACTTAGTGTAGTTGAAAAGCCAACAACAAGCTCCGTGTGCAATACCAAAAGCTAGTCTTAATTCAGACCAATGATTAATTGAAAGTCTATCAAAACGACCATAAATAAACCACCAAATCAGCCTTTTCCCTGTAAATTGTAAATACAAGAGTGCTACAATAAACCCTGAAAATAATGCCCTTTAATATTTATATACAGCTTATTCTTAGCAATGTATCAAATACATGTCAAATATCTACTTTATATCAAATGCTCTGCACACAAGACTATCAACTTTACACGTGTACACTTTCACTGAGCGAAATTCCATTTCGTTTCAAACAAATAAGAAAACATCCATAATTTCATGTCTGCATAAAACATTCTAAAAACACATTCACACCAAGCTGTACTCACTTCTTGGCAGGATATACTGTTGAAATACGAATTATCTCATTGTGAAATGAGGCATTCTGCACGAAAAATTAGTAGGCGAACATCGCAAGATGTCACCTCTATGAAACCCCAATAGTGCTCTGCCGGTTTTTACATTAATTAGCACATACGTACACGTTGACCACTGAATTACGTAACGGTATCTGCGAATCAAAAAACATAATGAAAATCAGTTTCGTCAGCGAAACAGCTTACACAAAATATAATGTATGGGGCAACAGTCGGGACACGGCATACTTTCGCCTCTGTGGAGGCAACTGCCGATTGCAAAGAAGAAAAATACTAAATCATTTGCTGACCACGTACAAAACAAAAGGAAAAGAAGGAAAATATATCCAGTTACCTGCTCAAGATGATTTGTGGAAAAGGAATGATGTCATGATGTAAACAAATCGTATCTAGAACGTGATAAATGCTAACATTCCCCATTCACTGTTGTGTGTAAGCACAGCACCGACCAATATTTATCCCAATTGATCCAGCGGAAAGTTCACGGAGGATTTTTCGCGCATGCGCAGAATCTAACTACGAACTCGCTTATTAAACTCGGCAGTTGAACGGAATTAAAAGTCTCTGCAAAAGATCGACTGACTTAAACTTGTTTCATAAAACTTATAGTCCATGATTTTTCATGGAATAATAATAACGATGCATAAAAAGGGTATAATTGTTTATTGTTGTGTTATGTTGTTCTTGAAATATATACACAGACTTGAGAACAGATCAATCTTCAAACTACAGTATAATTTCATAATGCTTTGATAAAGACTAGTGGGGTGCACATTCTGCACCCTCCAAATTCTTGCACCCCTCAGGGTTCACATTTTACGTTGAATGCACTGAGTGCGCCCTATATGGAGCAGATTAGTACCCTCGGCCAACTACGCGTAATCTGCACCCCAAATGTACCCCTATTTCTTAGTGTGTAGCCTTGCTTAGGCTAAACAAAATCATTTGGGTATCCTCGACCGCCCGCTCGTCATTTTCGGGCCGCTCATATTTTTATTTATTTATTATTATTATTATTTTTATTTTTTTTTTGGGGGGGGGGGGAAGGGAGCAATCTTAAACGTCAAACATACCATTTTATGCAATTTGCAAGGATCAAAATCCGTCCCGTTGTCAGTTTGGTCTTTTCAATACAAAATTCTGTATTTATTAACCTTGCTTTTTTTATTTTTCTATATCAAAATGCCGTTCATTCAAATCAGGTTCTGAGCATTCTTTAACTCATTTTAAAGCCCATCTGTACTAGTTTACAGGAGGGATTAGACCACTCTGCAAGGTCACTGGACAGGTGGTTATCTCATCATATCAGCTCTCATTCAACATAAGATAAAGAGGATCATGGGGGACCAATGGTCACCGATTAAGCATTGTTAGATATATAGAGGGCGCAAGTAGCTATAAGTAGAACAGTGGGGATTTAAAAGGTGCTGTTTTTCACAGCCAAAAATACTTCTGTGTTGGTCTTGATATTCATTGTACATAAAAATAGTCTTTTACCATATTAGAGTGTTTTATTGTTTTTTGTTTGTTTAAATGCTTGACATCCCAATGATTTTTTTTTAATGGAAAAATATTTATTTAAAAAAAAAAAAAAAAAAAAAAATCAACAAAAAAACAACAACAAAAAACAAAAACAAAAAATCAAACAAAAAAAAATAAAACAAAAACAAACAAAAAAAATAATCCGCCCGCCCGCCCCTACTTCAGAAAAGCAATCGAGGACAGCCAAATTATTTTTTTGGCCTTATGGGCGAGCATATGGGCCTCGCGATTGCAGGACTTCGCTCGCGCGCTGCCTTCGCCATGCACTCCATACACTTCGGTCGTGCACAAGAAGAGCTTCAAAATTTCAGCACAAGATCTAGATTCTATATCTAATCGGTAGCCTTAACTTGTTTCAGAAAAAGTCTGAATAAAATTCAAATAATATTACTACTAACTGAATCAAAATTAAAAAAAATCAAATCTACTTACACTTATTCTGTGGCTCGTCGGCCGCTAAAAACGTGACGATCGGTTACGTACGTGTGAACATTGACTGTATATACAACAGTGATTTGTAATCGTCCATGACCTAGCATCGTTTATCCATTCATGAATGAAGCTCCATTCAATGAGCAGATGTATGAGATTTATTATATTATTACCAACGCTCCTGCTCTCTCCTTTCCTTTTCTTCTCTGCAAGTTACTCTTTTTTAATTTTTATTCTTATTGTTGTATCTAATGGGGCTTTCACATATACACTCCGGGGCCCGTACGACGAGTAAAAACTGACATTTTGGGAATTGCCGTAAAGTTTCTACGGGCGCCGAGACAGTTTTTTTAAGCCGTACGGGCGCCGTGGTGCTGAGTTTGCTGCTTCCAATTCGCCTGGCGTTTTTATCTGACCGTTAGGCCGTAGAAAGCCCGTAAAGGGCCCGTCAGGTACCTTACGGGCCCCGTGCGGGCTCCGGACGGGCTCCTCACGATATTTTGGGTCAATTCTCAAGACAAATCTTTAAGGGCACCTTTCGGTGCGCAAGGGTGCCGTACGTGCACCCTACGTCTCCCTCACGGGCCCCTCAAGAGCCCCGGGTGATATGCCCAACACCGAGCGCCTGCCGTTCGGGGGCCATTTGAAATGAATATTGCCCGTGCGGGCCCCTCACGGCGGCATCTCAAAATGTACAACGCAGCTTGAAATACAGGAGGTGCGGATGTCAGAGGACACATAGTTCAGTGCACCGCACGGCACCCGACCAGGCGCCTTCAGGACCCCGGCCTGGCCCCGGCAGGGCACCTTCCGGGAGCCGTGGGTTCACCTGCTTATCGGATGGAGCCCGTAAGCTCACCGGCAGGCACCCGGCCGGCACCTTGCTTGCACCCTTATGGGGTTTCACATATACACTCCGGGGCCCGTACGGCGAGTAAAAAAAGACATTTTGAGAATTATTGGGCGGTGACCGGCCGGTTGCCGTAAAGTTCCTACGGACGCCGGGTCAGTTTTTTAAGCCTTACGGGCGCCGTGGTGCTGAGTTGACTGCTCCCAATTCTCCCGGCGTTTTTATCTGACAGTTAGGCCGTAGAAAGCCCGTAAAGGGCCCGTAGGGCATCTTGTGGGTCCCGTGCGGGATCCGGACGGTGCCCGGACGGTGCCCGGATGGATCCATCATGATTTTAGGGGTCAATTCTCATGAAAAATCTTTACGGGCGCCTTGCGGTTCTCAAGGGTTCCGTACCTGTACCCTACTGTCACAAAGTGACTAGTATTTAGCCCAGGGGATAGTTATTTCTAGTATTTGGCCCAATGACTAGTTATGTTTAACAAGACTTAGGGAACAATAGGCTTTCAAGCTAGAGTGCATGTTGTCAATGGGAGAGCTATGTGTGTGATGCGTGCTTTTCAATGGGAGAGTTTTGAGTGTGATGTGCTTTTCAGGGATACCTTAGAGAAAAGAGCTACACTGTCTTGTGCTATGTGAAGTATTGGGTGCATGTGTTATTAGCAGGGGAGAACGAATTTAGCACTGGTCAAAGCAGGACATGTTTGCTGGGTGCATGTGAGAGGAGTTAGCTAGGATGCGCAGCAATTATCTCATTTTGGTGCTATCTTGGTGAAATCAGGGCAAGCAGGCCAGGAGAAGACTCCTCTACAGCTCCCAAATTGTCCTCGACACCTCAGTCACAGACGTGCTGGGTTTATACGTCTACTAGACGGTTTTTGACTTCAGGGTAATCGTGGGCTATCTACAATGATTCAATCAGTGGAGCTCGACTTCGAAGTACGGCTACTCGCTGAAGCAGTAAGACGGCTCGAACTTCGTGCTACAGTTACTACGTTGTCCAGTACATCATCGCTACAGACGAACGTCACATCAGATACCTATGGATATTCGGTCGCGAGTTACGTACGAGTGCTTAGACGAGACGTCAGCACTTAGAGACAAACTGCAGAGACTTTCAACGGCGGTTGTTAAAGGGGCATGTTCCCCGTATTCCAGAGGGCGTTCAAAATACGTACCCGCTGGCGGACGGTGCTAGCTGCCTATTGACACCAACAGAATACGGCTCTTACGCAGATGGCATGTTCCGAATGCCCGCACAATGCCGATTATCGCATACATGTGCCGAAGTAATACCGATCGCAGTTCGGCTCTAAGATTCGGCTGCTGTTTCCGCCCACTTTCGTGACGTCACAATCGGCAGCAATCAGCTGGCTTGGCGAAGGCAGGCCAGGACGCGCGTACTTTGATTGACAGCTGTATGCAAATAAGAAGTCGACCTTCGGAACCAAGATGGCGATGACTAGAGCAGCGATAACTACACTGGCGGGAACGTGCCCCTTTAAGTATCGGTTATATCTGGAACATTTAATTGGAATATATCACTAATGCGGAAGCATTTAGACTTGTACCTTTTTTCCGTTAATGATTAAGGGGCATATTATTAGTGAGCTCACGTCGTATTACTTGCAGTACTGCACAAAAAGGAGGTAAAGATACTTTTGCTTAGAAACACAGGAAGATTGTGGGAATATTTTGCTGGAATGTAAAAAAAACGTGATACTAGTTTCATGGTTCATCACTAGGCTATGCCTGTAGAATACACGTCTTGGAAAACGCAGGTTGATGTTTCTTTTGTTAATTTCATTAATAAAGTGTGGTTGTAAGATGTAACTATACAGACAACGAATGAAATTTGTGTTTTTCTTTGTGTGTTAGATTCATAACAAACCCCTATACCAACAGAACTAGATCCTATCGCCAGACATAGCAAAGTACAGTGCGGGATCCGGACGGTGCCCGGACGGTGCCCGGACGGACTCCTTACGATTTTAGGGGTCAATTCTCATGAAAAATCTTTACGGGCGCCTTGCGGTGCTCAAGGGTTCCGTACCTGTACCCTACGGCGCCCTCACGGGCCCCTCACGGGCCCCTCAAGAGCCCCGGGTGATATGCACAACAATAGGCGTCTGCCGTCCGGGGGGGGGGGGGGGCCTTTTAAAATGAATATTGCCCGTGCGGGTCCCTCACGGCGGCATTTCGAAATGTACAACGCAGTTTTAAATACAGGAGATGCGGATACCAGAGGACACCTACAGAGTGAGTCAGAAAAAGTGTCCCACTTTTTAAAAATTGTATTGTTTGAAGTACGAATATTTAATCATGAGTTTCATGATATGTCTTGATAGAGTTATCCTCCCAGTACATGTAGGTACCATTTTCATTTGAATCTCTGCATGCGTGACTGAACATCAGACAATCTTTACAAGACTGCCAGATCTCACTTGCGCCAAGTTGCTAGGTGAGGAATAACATAATGTTTTGAACAAAGACAGCCAGTTTTTTTCAATTATCCAATTAGCCAAACAGACAAAAACACACAAACACACGCACACGCACACACACACACACACACCCACGCACACCCACGCACACACAACACACACAACACACACGGTGACAAATTTTTCATAATTACCACTTTTCTGATTGAGCAATGATTTTTTTATCAAGATCGCTGAATGTTTAAGTGGCATAACCCTAAAAGTCTTTCCCTTCTGTACACATTCACTACACCATCATGTCATCATCATCATCATTGTCATCATCTTAATATTCATCATCATCATCATCATCATCATGAAGCACAACATCCACAACAAGAGGACAGCGGCCACTCAACTTTTCGTACGATAACAAGAATTCCCGACAAAAAGTAACAGTTTGGGTGGGCCATGTCGGAAATGGAATGCTCATTTGTGTGCTTATGCCTGTGCATGAGCGTGTGTGTATGCGTGTGTGTGTGTGTGGGGGTGTGTGTGCGTGTGCACGTGTCTGACTGCCTTTGTTTAATGCACTGTTTTATTCCTCACCCAGTAACTTGGCGCAAGTAAGATCTGGCAGTCTTGTAAAGATTGTCTGATATTCAATTTCAACTCAATTTCAATTTAGTATTTATTGTCCATTTCAGTGATGCATGCATATGAAAATGGTACCTAAATGTACTGGGAGGATAACTCTATCAAGATATATCATAAAACCCATGATTAAATATTCAAACGTCAAACAATACAACTTTTAAAAAGTGGGACATTTTTTCTGACTCGCTCTGTAGTCCAGTGCACCACACGGCACCCGGCAGGGCGCCTTGAGGATCCCGGCCGGGCCCCGGCAGGGCACCTTCCGGGAACCATCGGTACACCTGCTCATCGGACGGAGCCCGTAAGGTTACCGGTCGGCACTCGGCCGGCACCCTGCCGGCACCCTTACGGGCGCCTTGCATTTCACTCGACCAATTTTCTCTGGGCACCTCCCGGGCGCCGCAGAATATGTGACCACACATGCCGTAGAAATAAAAATCGGACGGTTCCCGTACGGTCTCTAAATCCACGGCAAGCCGCCGTGTATGGAAAATCGTACGGGACCCGGTTTATATGTGACCTAGGCATAAGTTGAGGGCTGCGGGCACGTCGAGCGACTTTGCTTATTTCTGTAGCCCTCCTACATCTAATGTATGTTAATTATGCATTCAATATATTTGTTTAATTTCGTTTATTATCTGTATAAAATACTTAAAATAATTGTATCAAACCATATATTATGTTCATGAAAATGTATAATGAAAAAAGAAAAAAGATGCAGAAAACCAATAAATCAAATCAAATCAAATCACGAAAGCGTACGAATATTCATCAGCGAAATATTTACGCGCATGATATACAAAGAGTAATATAGCTGCTAGGAAGAGTACAGCTTCGAAGAGACTGAGGTTTTTTTTAAAACTCATCCAACGAATAAAGAGTCTGTGACATATTAGGGAGCAAAAAAGCCACTCTACACACTTGTGAATATTTTAACTTATTCGGTTACTAAAGTTGGAGAATACTCATCCAATATTAACTTACATGAACTTTAATGAGTAAAAAGACTCATCGAGAAAATAATCGGGTCACATACTCGTTTTAAATATCATGTGTGTAAAATTTCACTAAGAGAAAAGTGGTGTATTTACCAAATGTGTAAAATAATGCGTTTATTAGATCTATTATTTTGACTGAATGAGTGAGCTACGATTTTTTACTCACCATACTTAGTTCCGTTTTTTTGTGTGTGTCTATGACCATCATTCACATTTTTAGAGGCCAAACCGACTCCAAACCGATTTTAAACCGACCAATCGACTCTCGGTCTTCGAAGGTTATCAACATGTTATCATTATTTTGTTGGGTCGTGTGTGGTCCCGACGTTTGTGGCTGGGCTGTAACATTTTCACATTCGTCCGTACTTTCCTTTTCGAATATTAGGGCTCTTTGGCCGGACAGGATGCGGAAAGACCTCATTGATCAATTCACTCAAGTTTGCTGCCCATGGCAAACTGCGAAGAGCAAAATGGCTCCAGGTTGCAGGCCAGGAGAAGTCTGGAGGACACACCATGTTCAGAAAGCTAGCTGATATTACCAAGAAGATTTCTGTGATTGACAACCGAGGTCTTGATGATCCAAATACTGAAAAAGCGATTGCTGAACTAGCCGCACAATTGGGTAAGGAAAGAACGATTGACAGAGAGAGAGATATAGAGAGAGAAAGAGAGAGAGAAGGAGAGAGGGAGAGAGAGAAAGAGACAGACAGGAAGAGAAAGAACTGAAGGCAGAGGCGGCAGAGCGACTTCCAAAGTGTGTGTGTGTGTGTGTGTGTGTGTGTGGGGGGGGGGGGGTCATCAACAAAAGACACCTTTAAAGGGATATTCCAAAGCGAAAATATACAATTTTTTAGACATTGGTATATATACCCTTATATTGTTAGGAGCACGTGTCGAAATACAAAGGCTCATTATCAGAGGTGAAAATAGGGCACTTCTTACATTAAAAAAAAAAGAGGCACTCACCAGGGATGAAAAAAGGCATTCGTGAGAAGTGAAAAGGGGCTTTTATGAAAAAGGGATAGGTTCATTATCAGAAAGGATAAGGGGCACGTATCATTGTTACGAGGGTACTTATCAGAGGTGAAAAGGGGTCACGTACCACATCTGAAAAGAGGCATCTGTGAGGTTAATTGGGGTAAAAATAATCATTCCATCTTAATGACCAACAGTGTATTTGTAAATTGTTTTCTTGTGTGTAATTGAATTATTATACGGAAAATAAATCCAAGCCTAACCAAACCAATTATTAATAATACAACTTTTAACATTATTTTGTGTAAAGCGTTTTTATACATCCAATAAATATACTACTAAAGTCAAATTTGTCAAAACGTTTATAAAGAAAATCACAACATATTACATTCTGTAAGTGTCATTTCTGAATTACAGAATCTCTTTTGTTTTCTATTTAATACATTATCAAACTTAATGTCTTTAAGATAATCATTCATTTCATTATCTTTTCCTCTAGCCTAATACAATCGAGAAAATATTCAACTTCAGCTACAATTATATCTTTCATATTTCTGTATATTATTACATTAACATGTACTTTAAACATATTCTTTAACATAAAGTTTCTTTTTTCTAAGCCTAAAAAATATATATTATTTAGCTCAGTATCTTCATACCATTTGATATTGGACCGTATTTGTGCACCATGTATTTCATATTCATGAAATTGTCTCATGTTAGAAGACAATAATAATCTAACATGAGACAATTCGTTATCTTGATCTTAATATAATATACCAAGACTTGATAAATGATTTGACGTGTCTTGTAAAAAAAAAATTGTAAGCCTTTTCTTACCATTGCCTTATTAATACAATAACTAATTGACATGTGTCTTATTTTCTGTTTGAAAATGTCCCACAAAACTAATATTTTCTCTTTTTTTAATTGTAATTTTGCTTCCAAGTCATTCATAAGAGAAATTACATTTCTGTGATAAACATCATCTTGCAAAAGGGAGTTATATTAAGTTTCCGAATGCCTTTGCCCCTTTTCGCGGCCTTAAATTCGAATTTTTAATACACCGCATTATGGTCTGACATGAAGCGACCTAATGACTATATTTTTAGCAAAATCATTCAACCATTCGGATAACAGGACGAAGTCAATTCGAGACTGTACAAAGCATGGATACGATTGTTAATGTGTAAATTCCCTTGCTTTAGGGTTTCTAACTCTCCATATATCAATTAAGTTTTTTTTAAAGAGATTTGGTTACGCAAATAAAAACATCATTATCAACTTTGATTGTCCCTCCATATTTGTCCCTTTGACCTTTCAGGACCGTGTTAAAATCACCGGCTAAACAACCCCTCTCCTGGAAGTACATGTTCATGAAATAAATGAAAACATACTTGAAAAAATCCTTTATGTGGCTTAATACATTTGGTGCATATAAATTAATAAACCAGGTAGTTTCACCTGCAAAAGATAATTTTATTCCACTCAACCTGCCATTCTCAAATAAAGCAACTTTTCCTGAACATCGATAGCCATGTTGCGGAGTAAAATACTGTTGTCAGGCCGCAGCTTTGCGAAGTGCCCACTGAATGAAAGGCACGACCAATTATATTTGTCATGTTTCGTTATAATGTCATATGTAAAGTGGGTCTCCTGAAGAAATATGATATGAGCATCAATATCCTTTGCCCATCCATATATTTTCAATCATTTTTTTTCTGTTTTTCAGTCCTTGACAATTTAGCGAGAGTATAATGAAGGCGCACTTCGTACAAACGAAAAGGGGCACTTGTCAAAGCAAAAGGGGCACCTCTTAGACTTTAATAGGGCAATAACCAGAGGTGAAGGGGCGCTTATCAAAAGTGAAAAGGGGCGCTTCTCGTTCCAGAAAGGGGGCACTTACTATAGAGATTTAACCGGCACATATCTGAGATTGGAAAATGGACACTTATTGCAAAGGAAAATGAGAATGTGTCAAAATAAAAGGGGCGTTTGTCAAAGTAAACGGGCACTTTCCCTATGTAAAGTGGGGCATTTTGGGGTACTTGAAAAAGTGTGGGGGCACTGTGCCCCCTACCCCCAGGAGCCCGCCTCTGACTGAAGGTATCAAACCGAGTCCGCATCGACTCCAAAAAGACCGGCTCTAGACCATTTAGGGTTATATCGATGCATTTCATTATCAAACCAGATATTCATTATATTGATGTCTTTATTTCATGTTCGTATATTCATGTTCATCAGTCGAATCTTCCTAATTTCACTTTACAAAGAGAATCACTCCGTTTGGAGGTGAATTAAAATGAAGGGACCGGCCTCATTTTGGTAACTTTTGATCATTGACATTGATTGCTTCCCCTGTTAGCTTTCCCTTCCTCCTCTCCAATCCCCTCCCACTAACCTCCCCTCTTTTATGTTTGCATTTATTTGTGCTTCCACTACTCAGATGGAAAACGAGGTTTCACTGATATCGTCGAGTGGCAGGGCGCTAATGATGAGAATGATAGCGATGATCTAGAGGATGAAGACCTGGATCTAAGCAAACCTGATCTCAACAAGGGCTATCCAATTGGCTGTGCTGTCTTTGTTTTTAGGTAAGCTTACCTACCAATCCTCTGAAGGGAATTAGCCGTTATGTTGGTCATTCCAAAGCAATTTTTGCACTATTCGTCCTGCGTTGGCGGAACAGACCGAAGTTCTCCTCACGCTTCGGTTTCGCATATCTTGCACCCACGCGAATGCTGCGGTCGCGTCGTCCGTCTTCGTACTAGCGAGCTTTCGATTTTAGGCACCCGACGTCGGCTACTAAGCGTGACGTCATATATATCCCCTGCGCATGCGTGAGCTTCTGGGCCCACGTTCCCTTCCAAATCACGCGACGGGAGTCGGGGGCAATTTCCTTGAATCCCCGTCGCCGTGAAAACGTCAATGTGAGTGTAGTTTCATCACCTTCTTTTATGTTATTCTTTGTTTTTATTATTCTATTATTTCCTCTTGCTATCTGTTGTTTCTTATTATATCACCTTTTCTTATGCTATTCTTTGTTTAATCATTCTATCACTTTCTCTTTATGTCTTTCCCTATGTTATTTTTTGTTTCTACCTTCTATCACATTCTCTTATTTTATTCTACATTTCTATCATTCTATATCACTTCCTCTTACTACCTTTCCTGTTATTCTTTGTTTCTTCCTTCTATCACATTTTCGTATGTTATTCTTTGTTCTATCATTCTATCACTTTCTGTCTTTCCTTATGTTATTCTTTGTTTCTTCCTTATATCACCTTTTCGTATGTTATTCTTTGTTTTCATCATTCTATCACTTCCTCTTTCTATCTCTCCTTATGTTATTCTTTGTTTCTTCCGTCTACCACCTTCTCTAATGTTATTCTTTGTTTTTTAATCATTCTAGCACTTTCTCTCTTTTTTGATATAATGTTATTCTTTGTTTCTTCCTTTTATCACCTTCTCTTATGTTATTCTTTGTTTTTATTATTTCCTCTTCCTATCCTTTGTTTAATCTTCTATCACCTTTTCTTATGTTATTTTTTGTTTTATCATTTTAACTTTCTATTTCTGTCATCCTCATGTTATTCTTCGTATCACATTTTCGCGCACTGTGCATTTCTCAAAAAATGGTCACGTGACCGACGAAAGCACCATCGTGGAAAATCGTAAGCACTGCCGCGACGGGAACGGACGTGAGCTGCGCAACGTCTCCACGCTCCAGTACCTCGTAGTAGCCGACGTCGGGTGCCTAAATCGAAAGCTCGCTAAATACCCGATTTGCCTCGGGTGCGCATATTTTTTTACACAACTGTTTAGCCACTTCAGTCAAATATACTGTGCAAACGACTAGCGACAGAGTCTAGCATTACCCTTAGTAGTTTTGTTGGAATGCTGGAGCTGTACATGTGTACATACTCGTTATTTATTTCGGGTTAAATCTATCCTCTCTTCTCTTTCATTATGTATTTCTGTGTTCTCCTTCAATCTATCCTCTTCTCTTTTGTCATGTATTTTTTTCTTCTTCAATCTATCCCTTTTCTCCAGTATTATATATTTCTGATCCTCAATCTATCCCCCACTCTCCTTCGTTAAGTATTTCTTTTGTTCTCCTTCATTCTAACCTCTTCTCTTTTGTTTTATGTATTTCTTTGTTTCTCCTTCAATCTATCCTTTTCTCCTTCGTCATCTATTTCATTGTTTTAATCTGATTCCCTTTCTCTCCTTTTATATGTATTTCCCTGTTTTTCCTAAGTCTAGATCTATGATCCTCTTAGCTCTTCAATTATATATTTCTATGTTCTTCCTTTGACTTATCATCTTCCCTTCCCTGGGTGTACCGTGTGCTTGCACCACAGAACTCTAAAATTCTGTGGCTTGCACATAATGCGCTGACGACTTAGACTCTTTCACCAGAGCACTTCTTGGAATTTTTTCGCGATAATGGCTAAACAGTTGTGTAAAAAAAATATGTGCGCCCCGCGCAGGGCCACGGGAAAGAAACATAGTCTCGTCATGACACACTCCCTTTAATATGCAGGGCAGCGTGGCAAGGTTAGGTTTGAAAAAGACGCATGCGGGACAGCGACATCAACGTTTATCTTTACAGGTGGCGCATGCGCACTACTCGCCCCAAAATCGGAATTTATAGCAAACAGCGACGGTTATTTATGTGTTTTTCTAGTAGTGTAAGTGGTAGTCCAAAAAAAAAGTGACGATTTTTCAAAATGGTGTTTCAGGATGGATATTATATAGCCTATCACTTGCACAGTTAACCGCGGCAGTTGCTATCGCAGTCCTATGTCATACAAAATAAAATATGGTGCTTCGTGTTCTAGTATTATTGGTAACAGTGCTGTGCAGTCGTGCTGATAAACTTTCTAGTTGAACTTTTAAATAGCTTGCACAACAAATCTAGACACCACGTTAGCAAACTAGTACCTCGATCAGTCACACTACCAAGCCATCATCCTCCTCCTTTATTCTACCCCTTTACCAATTTCCTTCTTCTCAAAAATAAGTCGTAATCTTTCTCTCTTAATACCTTCCGCAGCGCCCGACATGACATAGATACTAATACTACTGGACTATCTGAGGTCATTGATTTCCTACATAGCCATCAGGGTAAGATTTTATCCTCCATATTTGTACTTATTCTTCATTCCATTATCCATTCATTTGCCCAAGTTTTGTTCGAGGCTCTGTCCAAAATGTGTGTGTGCGTGTGTGCGCGCGTGTGTGCCCATGTGTTATGAATGACTAATTTTGACTCGTTTTTTAACACTGGGCTATTGTGGCTATTGTAGCCTCGTTTTAAATGATTTAAACAAAATGTTTAAATAGATTGTTTCTGTTTGTCTGTCGCTCCAATTTGGGGTATTCTGAGTGGGCTAGGAACAGTGTGTGGTGGTGTGTGTGGGGAGGGGTGGTGGTGTGTTTGGTTGGATGGGGTTATTTGTTTTATGTTACAACTGATTTCATTTTTGTTTTCATCAATCGTACAATCTATATACTGAAAATGTATTGAATTCATGTCAAGGAAAACAACTTTATTGTATTTTTAAAGATTGATTTGTATTGTTGGAATCAATAAAAAAGAAAATTTTGTAAAAAAAACAACAACGTGTAAATGGGGGTGAAAAGACTATTGTACAGAGAAAAATCAATGAGATGGAAGCTACTTCAAGATGGTAGGAGGTAGATTAATTTTCTTGTGTAACTATGATTCCATGTTATTAAATTTCAAAGTGCCTAAGTTCTATTTAGAAATGATAAAAGCATGGGAAGAGTTAGAATGTTGTAGGATTTTTTGAGACAAGAATAACCCAATTATCCAAAAATTTCTTATTATAAATAAGAAAATGATTTTCGATGAGGATTTGTTTAAATGCGATATAATTTAAGTTCAAGATATTTGTGCTAAAATTGGCATGCGGTCAATATCTCATTTTCAACATTTGGGGTTAAAAGGAAACAAAACTGTAGATGTATGGAATATTAGGGAAGCTATTGTGAGAAGCGGCAAAAAGGAAAACTGGAGATAGTGGATGTAAAAGAGTATGATATTTTGTTACAGTTTAATGGTATTGTGAAGCTCCTCAGAGATTTATTATCGAGGAAGATTTATGAATATTGTATAGAGAAGTTACACAATTTGTTTGTTTTGAAGATTCACGATGGACGGGAATTTTCAGATTTTACAAATGAGGTACATGTATATAGGGAGATATTTAGTAGCTTTACAGCTTTAAGTTTTCACGAACTTTTAACACTGGGTTATTATTTTAATTATTTATTTAATTTTTTGTATAGATCACTTCTATTATGCTGTCGCTCCAATTTGGGGTATTCTGATGGGGCAAGGACTCAGTGTGTGTGTGTGTCGTGTGTCACATGATGGGGGGGGGGTGGGGGTGAGGGTAGTAGTGTGTTTGGTTGGACGGGGTTATTTGTTTTATTTTACAACTGATTTCATTTTTATTATCATTCATGAAAAACAATTGTATTTCTAAGAAAGATTTGTATTGTTTTGGAATCAATACAACAAAAATTGAACAAAAATTTTGTGCGCGTGTGTGGTGTATGTGTGAATTTTACAAAATTACGGGGAAAAAAAGTACTTTGCCTCTGGAGCAGATATATACTGTGCAGAAATGATTTCCTCCTATGGCGTATTTCATCTAGATTATATGTTTGTCACGAGCTGACAAAATAATGAGGGAAGGGGGGGGGGGGGGGGGGGGTGGGGGGACTCGATGATAATTCATCATTTGAAGGTTTACAATGTGATGTCCATGAGTTATATGCACCCACTGAAGAAAATCCATGTATAGGGTTGCTGCAGGAACCCCAGCACCCACATATCCCACGCATGATGAGACAAACTCGAGAGAAAACTACACATTCTTTCACATACATTAACAAAAAAACAAAAGAAATCCAAGATCGGTTGAACTCTTTTTGACCCCTCCCCAGGACGTCGATCGATTACATGTATGTATCCCCCCCCCCCCCCAAAAAAAAAAAACTCTTTCAAACTCTGGCTGTGGCCCTGGCGATAATTACCCACTATTCAAATCTGACAGGTGCCCCTTTTTCTTCAACAAATGCCCCTTTTACTTCATAATAAGTGCCACTGTTCCATTTTTATAAGTGCCCCTTGTGATATTTGATAAAAGCCCTTTTGTTTTTTTTATTTTGACACGCGTCCCCTTAAACTTTCTAACAAGTGCCCTTTTACCTTTTGATATGTGCCCCTTTCCCTGTTTAATATGAGCCCCAACCCTTTCTCATAAATGCCCCTTTGATCCCTTTTCCTTTTTGTATAATTTCCCTTTTCTCTCTTTCTCTGTCTTTCGAAATCTTCTGCAAGGTTTGTTCTCTTGACTGAGCAACCTGTTGCAATTCCTTTCTGTCTCACTTTCAGTCGTACTTGTTGCCACTCATTTGCATTCACTCGTTATCAACTACCATCAACCATTCCATATTCACTCCATTACTGTCCACATTTCAATTTCATTCTCTTCACTCTCCCTTTTTGCAGCCTTTCCAGGAGCTTTGCTAGAAGTAGAACATTTTTAGTGTAGAGGCCA